CTTATTATTATTTTTTCTGTTGAGCTGTTTGTGCTTGCCTACTATTCCCTGCCCATACAGCACCTAGCAAAATGAGATGCTGATCTTGTCTAGGGACGTAAATAGTGCAAATTAACCTCATGTGGAAACCTTTTGGGTTTGAATTGAGTGCTGTGCTTCTGCTGTAGCTCTATGTCCAAACTGGTGGAGCTAATGACCTGAAACTGCAGGGAAGTTTGGACAACACAGGCTGCAACTCCATCTCCCGGTAATGCACTCCTCAGTGGATTAGGAGAAGCTTCCCTGGCAAACTGGGAAGGAGTCCAAGCTGGGGAGCTGGTGTGATAGGAACTGACAGGGCTGGAAATTTGATTTCTGACTCTTTCTGCATGTATTTCTTCTGAAATAAGAGGGAGAGGGAGCCAGGAGTACTTTGAATCCTGCAATCATTAAAACCAATTCCACTTTTCCTGCCCCTGCCCACCTCCTGATATGTGTGTGAAACAATCTTTACAGCTACACAGCCATCAGATGGTATCGACCTGGCAGTGGAAATTGCTATTGACTGCTGCTGGTGCTGCTCTCTGCACTTCCATGGCTTTTAAAGCGACACTCTTCAGGTGATTTCACTTTGTACTTGATACAGTCTGAGAAGCCATGTCTCAAATGGGATAGTAAGAACACATGGGATTTGTGTGTGCATGTGTGTACAACAAACACTGCCACTCTTTAGGCAGTGGAAGGGTGTTTGAGAAAGTGGGAAGAGATGCTCAGTGCGGAAACACTTCCCTAGTGGGAAGATTGAGAAGTTTGATATTTTTTTCGTTACTCTTGTGTCCTACCACAGACTTTTCCTGCTGCAATTCCAACACCAAGCCAAGACCATTCTTCTACCCTTAAGAAGGATCTACCCAGTCCTATATTGGCTGAGGACTAGATAAACTGATTTCTTGTTTTAAGGGGCACCTCTGATTCCACATTACAAATTCTCTCTTATCTGCTCTGGGTTCCAAAGAAAAAAAGCAAGAAGTTATAATTTTTTTTTTTTAATGCAAGTGTTTTGTGCAGCCTAAAGAACTCCTTTCATCATGGAGCATGACAACAGGGCTCTGGCTCAGCCCTGTAAAATGCACATGTCGTTTCCTCTCAGGCAATTTAACTGATATTATTTGGTTATTCCAGCGCTTGGGGTTGGATTTAAGTGGTGGTGAGGGGAGATGGTGAAAAAGCTGTGTAAAAGCCTGGGGTTAGAGTCTGATCCCAGCTCCATGGAGCAAATCTAGTGCAATGCCATTCTCATATCATTGGTATAGCTGGGGTTTCTGGTGTAGAGATAGACCTGTGACTGAATGGAGTCAGCCTAACCATGTCTACACAGAAGCCATTGCTCTAGCCTGCACTGTCATTGAAATGACTCTTTGATAACTTCGTATCAAAATGAAGATATGTCTTTACTGCTGTGAACTGAACGTTGATCCTGGCAAAGGACTCTCCTGCTGTTGCTTAGGTCCATCCACTCACAGATGAACTGCACTGTGCAGTGAAGGTTCCTGTCCTGCCTGTGATGAAGATCTGACAGAAGCTATCTTCTTCCAAAGCAGGCTGTGATGGTGGAGTCTCCCCGAAGCTGTTTTCTTCTGGGATGTTACTCCAGGGCTAAGGGCAGCACTGGGGGCTCCAGTCCACATGCAGTCTATCTGCCAAGCACTGACTTAGAGAATGCTATAGTATATAGCCTATGAAAACAGGCTGAGCATGCTTTGGTAAGTAACACCTGGTCAAGGAGTAAGGCAGGGTGCTACCTGCATCACTCTGCCCTTCCATCTCCCAAAAGAGATCTTACATTTCTCTTTTACCAGCAGAGCTGGAGGTTATGAAAGGAATAGATGTTACTATTTCTCACAGAGCTCTGCCTTTGACTTCAACCACATGGCAGTACCCCGGAGCAGCAGCTGGCCAGATGTGTCCAGAGTGTGCATGTAAGGAGCACCCTTTCTTGTTACCTAGAACAGTGACTGCCTAAGGCTTCCAAGCCAGACCCTTAGCTCAAATGCAAGTAAACACTGCTATTAGCTCTGAGCAGGCCCTGACGGCCTTGATTTCAGGTCACAAGACTGGCAAGCTTCTGACGTTTCAGAAGGCATGCCTATCCTTTCCCCACTCCCTAGCCCAAGCCCTGGGAACTTTTCTCCCTTGTTTACATTGAGCCTTGGGGCTCATGTGGTAAGTCTGACCCTTCTCAGTCTGTCTCTGTCTCAGCTGAATGGGAGGAAGAAGTGGAAATAGGAAGAGCTGGATGTTGAGAGCACATCTCGGTGGGATGGCTTACATTCTCAGCTCCCAGCACTGAGCAGGCTGGGAAGGGAGATGGAGCAGGACCCTGGCCTGGGGGTGGTTTAGCATGCCAAAAGCTGCTCTGCTTTGGGACATTCTCTGAGGAGAATGTACAGGGCATTTTTGAGCAAGCACACGTCCCTTTGCTGCTTTTGCATCTCCTGCCCACCTTTGCGTGTGTCACAGGTCATGCATTTCAGTCAGGACAGGATGTATATGTGTGATGACTATAGAGTACCTATGTTCCCCTCCCTGCAAAAACAGGCTTTTTTTGCCTCTCTTCTCTTTCCCCTCCACTCATGGCACTCTGCATCTCCCAGGACACCGCTCCCATCTCTTTCCTCCCACCCCACCACTTCTGCCTGATGGGAGCATTGTATTGCCTGTTCCATGGGGACAGTAGGGACCTGGGATGACTTCTCCTTCCTGGTCCTCCTTGGGCTCTGCCAGTGTCTTTCTCTCTGTCCTGACGCATGTATTGCTCCAGAATTAGACTATCCAAATGGGGAAAGAACAATTAGCTGGAGGAAGGGGCTGAGTGACCTGGAACATAGGAGGAGTTTCAGTTCTTTCTCTGAAGCCAGAGCAGTGGGAGCTGAGTGAGGTCTTCCCAGTGTGGTCCTTGACATTCAGGTTTCTGTGCAACACCTACATGGGGCCTCTAAAATTTGAAAGCCAGGTCTTTACTGTAAGTAAATTAGTACTGCTTCAAACAAGGTTTATTAATTTACATCCTTTGAGGAACTTCCCCAGTATGAAACTGAGGAAAAGCAACATATTAGAGTTGTGGGCAGCTTTCTGAGTTTCGTGTGTCCTTTAGTCTTTCCCATTGCTGTGACCATGACGCCCTCATGCTTTTTCCAGCCCTCTGGCAAATATCTTCTGGTGCTTTCCCAAAGATCCCATCCCTTGGACACCTTGACTTCTGCACTCATCAAATGGAAGCTGGCAAAGTTAAAACTGCTGATAAACAGACCGGTGTGGGAGGCTGCAGGCTCATTCCATAGCAGTGTCTCAGACCTTCACCTCCTTTGGCTCAACAGGACCGCCTTCCAAAGCCACAATCCCAGCGAACTTTACTTTCCATTCTCAGGGCTGTGTCTTTCCTCCCTAGTGGATGCTGAGCTGATGGGGTCAGTGAGACACCCACTGAATGTGAGTGCTATTTGGCTTTGAGCTCACTGCAAGATGAGAATAGTTTTTGCTCAGTAGGCTTTGCATTTCGTTCAGAGCTAGTACCAACCTGTCCTTTCTGGCTTTTCCTTGAGAGAACAGTGCCTAGGCAGAGCAACCTGCACTCCAGCCCAGCTTCCAGCTCCATGTGTCCCACAGTAACCAGGTGCTGCTGGAGTATAGATGTGCCCTTATCAAACAAGCAGCCTTTGATATTTTCTCTTTCTTCCAGGCTTAACCTGCCTAAGTCTTTTTGGGGTGAGATAAGAGATGCAAGTTGACAGCATATCTAGGTGAGATTTTTTTCCTCCTGGGAAAGCATGGTAAGAAATTAAGCTTTGCAGGTTTTCTGCTCAGTCAACCAGGGAAAATAAAGTCCTTGGTGAACTTGAGTTGGGTCTAGGGGCAGGAGAGCTGCTGCTGTGATATGTGGTTATTCTCTCTGCAGCACTGCCTCCTTACAAGTGAGAGGGGAGTGGTTTTGGTACCTCTTTATGACCTGGGAGCCACAGGGAAGTGGTGGTGACTTGCATTCTGGAAAGACAAGGTCATCAGCAAGGGTGGGGCAATTGGTTTGTCTGACACTGTGAGAATCCAGGTATTTTCAATTCGTAGGAATTAAAGTGAACACCCTAGTTTTAGGTTGCTGGCTATTTGAAATTTGGCCTTCCCAAGGTGGTGGTATTAGGTAGGGGTATTACTGGGAAAAGCGTTGATAAGAATAATAGTGAAAACGGATGTCTGGTTGTGAAGCCTCTCTGTCCTACAACCTTCAGGACCTGCCAGGATACGTGTTTCCTGGGCTGTGAAAAAACAATATGGGAGACAATTATATATATCAGTGATAATATCGATCACTGTCTTAGAACCTTTCAGTCAAGGACATCAGCACCTTCTGGAGATGAAGTGTCTCTCCTGCTCTGGGAGCCTGGAAAGGATGTTGAATGTGTGGCAGTGACTGTGTGCAAGGGGAAGTGACTCTCCTTTAGGGAATGCTGGGCCCACAGTCGAACCAATTAGTAGAATGAAGCTGAGCAAAGTGCAGGAGGGACCAGACTGATAATAAGCAAAGTGCTCAAATATGGGAAGTTGGGGAGGAAGCCAAATGAAAATGAAACAAAAGGCTAAGGTCCAACTTCAGCAGCTGTATAGAAAGGATGGGACAGCTGATAATAGGAAAGCCTGAAGGAACACTGGGTCAAAACCCCTGCGAGAGAGACTGAAGGAATCTGTGAGCAAGCCAAGAGGGGTGGGGGGATGTGGGATTTTATTAAAAAGTGAGTCAGCAAACTGGAGCTGTTGGCTTGCTTATCACCATAGACCTAAGTCTCACTGTGACTTCTTTGCTCACTGCTTTGTGGAGATGGCCAGCTTGAGAGGTGCATGGGATGGTAGGGCTCTATCTCAGTCTTCTTGGCAGACCTCGGCATGCGGGGACATCAACTTTACTGCTGCAAGGGACAGAGGATGTTTACTCTATCACTTGATTTGGGTCTGATAAAAGTTGTCTTAAAACCCTCTTTTTAATTAAGGTGAAATCAGAATCCTGCAGCTGATCCTTTTCCTTTGCAGACTTTCTCAGCCTCGTAAATCTGTGGAAATCTCAAGAGAGCTGCAGATGAACTCCATAAAGACCACCTGAAGGTAGATGATGTGGTGGAAAACATTCCAAAACCACAAGTCTGCAACTGAGACACAAAGTCACTCTAGCTGCTATAGTTCACATGGGGAAGCAAGGATTTCTTTCACAGACACTGTGATCAAGGTAGATATAACATGATCACCTTTGAGTGATAACCTTGGCTCTTCCTACTAGTCCACAGAGGTAAGGCCCTTCTTCTTCCTCCATTTCCCCACCTGTAAAAGAAGAATAGGGATACACCTTCTGGGTAAATGATCTGAAAATGGGATTATTACAAAGAGAGCCCATAGTGGTGGTAGTGAAGAGGAGGTCTCATTGGGAGGCCTGACTTGGGAGATCTCATGGAGAATATGTGGAATATGATCACGTGTTTGTCCCTTTAATGTGGCTTTCTGGTTTTTTAAAGCGCTGAACAGAATGTGAGACATGCTAGATAAAAATGAATTTAACAGCTATTTTGTATCCTTTGAGGAACATCAGTATTGGCTGAAAGAGGAAAAAACACCTTTTTTGTTGAGCCTGGAGTAGACCTGCTTTTATTGGAGGACTCTATGACTGCTTTTGTTGGTATTTGCTCTTATAGCTTTTACCTGACTTGTTTTCAAAATTCTTGTGGATTTTTTTCAGTCTTCAAAACCTGCATTTCCTTGCGGAAATTCAAATTTGGGGTCTGGAAAAATGTCCAAAATGGTTTTGCAGGTGGCTTGCTCTGATGCAGAAGCAGGACATTCTGTAAGGGGAGTCACATTTTTATTTCAAGGAGGGCAAAGAATTTGTTGTAAACACTGCCATTTTCTTTTCAATTATAGATGTTTTTGTGGAACAAAAAAAATGCAGCAGTTTCTAAGAAAGAGCATGTGATCACAATTAAGGGATGTGTTGTGCTATATCAGAAGGTAACATTTAAACCAGGGAAAGACTGAATATTGACTATAACTCATTGTAATTATGCCATCTATTTCAAATATGTAAGTATGTTTGGTAGCACTTACATGTTTATGTCAGCTATCGGGAAAAGCAGTTTTCCTTTTTGGTAAACTTCTGATGGTAAGAATTTTGTTACTTGCATTTGAATAAGCAACAAACAAGTTTAGATGCAACAAATTTTTGTGTGAAGAGAAGTTGATCCCCTTTCCTTTGGTGGTAGTATTTTACCTGTGTTCAGGTTGTTTGTAATACTTTAATGATCAGGAAATATTAATAAGCAATGCATTGACTAACATGTGCATTTCTTAATAGAATAGACCATGACCATGTAAAGTCACTGTGATGTAGGGGATTGAAAGTGAGTCTGGGAGTGGGGTGAGTCAGAATCCATTTCTGGCTTTCCCACTGTCTGGCCAGTTTTCCGCAACTCCCACCTGAACTGCAGTCATTGGGTATTTAGCTCATTTTGAAAGGGCTTTGAGATCTACAGATTGAGATCACTCCTGAAGACCCATGTACTTTGCTAAGTCTAACATGCAAACCCTGCAAAAAACGTGAACGCTGATTTAACCTGGCACTGTGAGTGAAGCTGTGTCTCTGCTAAAATTGATGAGAAAACTCCCTTCACTTCTGGGGACTGGGATCCTTCACCAGGGGAAATCATTCTGAGCCCACTTCCCTTCCCTTTGACATTTTCAGCCTCACCAAAAGCCAAAGGAGTAAGAAAGAAGGTTAATGACTAAATTGACAAATAAACAATCAGTTCAAAACAGCAACACAACATTTCTAGGAAAACGTAAGAATCTCCTCTGAGAACTGGTTAGGAATGTTAAACTGTACTGTGCTTCAGTCAAAGAGGGACCATCTGTATGGAGCTCATAGTATTATGGGGGCTGTGGCTGGCTGGGAAATAGGAATAGCTTTGGTTTTCTGATGGAATACATTAGAGGAAAATTGCAGAAAAGGAAGGAAAACTAATTCAGTCATGGTGAACGGAGAAGGGAATTGCTACAAAGATGTTTAGGTAAAGGCCCTCAAACAGTGTTATGTACAATCTATATGCTGTCTGACTCTGGGATGTCACGTTTTGGACAGCGAAGCAAGAGTCCATGGCTCTCCTCACAAAAAAGAAAATGTTGAAGGAGTCTCAGGCCAGGAAACTGCTTTTCATCCCATTGTGGTGTGAGTGTTGAGAGACAGTTACGGGGAGAATCTTCCCTCATGCTCCGAGAAATGGAGTGTGTTTGGTCTTCATTTTCCAGGGCTCCACTTTGCCACAGTAATGGTGCGTTAATAACAGCTTGATTTTCATTTAATAAATAATAGGAATCATGCTGCTTGGAGCCAAGATTTTAAACAAGAGGCTCCCGTAAACATTTTCTTCAGGAATCTGTGATAAACCAAAGATAGCATTAGACTTACTTGAAGAGAGTGGGGACGCCAGACTTGGAATCTGTCCATCTGTTTCACCGTTGAAACAAAACCACTTTATAACAACCACAGAGGAGAGGAAGCGATGCAGCTTGGCACATACACTTACACTATGTGTGGTGGAAATGTTTATTCTTTATTTCAGAAAGATTTAGTGGGTGTAGAGATAATAGAGCATAGCGCTTGCTTGTGACTTGGGGAAGGAGGGGTGATGGTGTTCGGGTTTTAAGGGAGCCCAGTGTCGGCTCCCATGGGGAATATTTTCAGTAATACTCATTGCAATCTCATGCACTTGGAAAGCAGGAGAAGGCAGAGGGATGAAATATGCTTTTTAGGAGAGGTGTTGGAAAGGCCTCAGGATTAGTTATCTCTGACAAGATTGATTTTACAGACTCCAGTAGACAGCAGAGGCAGAGTTCTGGGCATTTCTCTGTTGGTCTGATGGCTCCTCCAAGGCCCCGTGATGCTATGCTTCCTTTGGAACGGCTCAGGTTGCTCTGCTCCTCTCCTTCTGAGACACCGTGTGGCTGCCTGGGGCCCCACACACAACGCACCTCATCCCCATGTGTGCTCATACCCTACCTGTGCTGGCTCCCTGAAGGGTCTTCGGGCTCCTGCTCTTGCGTGTCTACCTGATGTGCTGAGAGGCACCATGTTGTGACATGGGAAATGCTGGAAGGATCTGCAATACAAAAATCTGTGGGGTCAGCAGGCCACCATGTCCTAGTGTCCCTCTCTGTCCCCGCAGAGCCACTGGTGCCTTTTTTCACTGTGCATGTTCACTCTGTGCGTGTGCACTGTGCATGTTCAGCTCTGCTGTGCTGCTTCCCCTCAGAACTACTCAAAATCAAAGCCAAAAGACCCTGGACCAACCTCCAGGGATGTGAGAGTCCCTATCAGAGTCTGAGACAGTGTATGTCTAGACTTTGTGTGTGAGCAAGCAAGTGAAGGGATGACTAAGTGTCTGAAAGTTTGGACTTTGGAAAGGCGGCCCTTTGCTCTTTGTTTCTTGGAGAAAGTTTTGCTTCCTGTGGAGCCATACAGATAAAGGTTATTTTATCTCCCCTTTCTTTCTTTCCTTTTCAAAAAAGTAAAACATATATAGATATATCTTGGGTGAGAAAGCACAAACCTGTATGAAATTTTGGCAAATGGAGAAACATGAATAATGTGTTGAGTGAAACATTTCAAAGTGACAAAAATCAAAACATCTCACTTCGCCTTCAACCACTTTAAAACATTTTAATGGCTCGAAAGGAAATTTCAAAATGAAAAGTCATGTTTTGCTTAAAACACTGGAAAGTGTTTCATTAAAAAGGAAGAGTGGAAGCAAAACAATTGCCTTTTTTTTTCTTTCCAGTCAGCCTGATGTCTCTTTCCCCAGCCTGTGCTGAGGTCAGGAACCAGGGCTGGGCCCATCTTCCCTTGTGTTATGGGGGTCCTGGGGCTGGGAACTTTCTGATCTGAGGAAGGGACAGTCTGATGAAATCATCTCCCACACAAGAAATTGTTATATCACCGTAACTGTTTTATTTATTATCTTTTAAATATAATTTGCAGGCAAGCCTGGTCCCAGGGCCATCCTTGCTCACCAGCTGATGCCTACAGAGGTCTTTTTGGCCACAGGACAGCCTCAGATGACTGGCAATGCTCAAAGAGGCTGGGGAAGTCCTCCTCCTCCAGAGTGCATTACACTGTGACATTTAGGTCTGGATGGCAGCCTTGGTAGCCTTGGGACTTCTGCTAGCTTCCCCTGCCCTGTTCAGGCAGGTGTGGGATGTGGCCCCACTGTCGTGTGGCCCCACTTGTAGGAATCACGTGGGTCAGTGAAGAGGAAGCAGAGAAATAGCATCATGAGGTGACACTCGCAGCAGAGGTGAGAGGGAAGGCTCCTCCATGGGGGGCTACATCAGAGGGGGTCACTGCTCCCACCCAGAACATGGAGATGATGTGGGGACACCTGGGGAGTCAGAGCCAGCTGGGTGGCAGGGGACGGCAAGGAGACCTTGCTGAGGGGCGCAGGGGGGCTGTGGGGAGAAGGGAAGGCTGGCGGTGGGGCACGGGGAGGCCGAGGACAGTGGGGTGCAGCAGGGCTGAGGAAAGACTGGCGGGATGTAGGAAGGGGAGCAGCGGAGGTGGGGGCAGACATGAGCCCGGGGGCGAAGGAAAGCTGCGGGGCGCAGCTCTGAGGGGAGATGGAAGGCGGGAAGGGGCCAGAGCTAGGGCTGGGGGAGGCACGCAGAGCAGTGCTTGGGGCGCTCCGCAAGCCGGCCCCTGCAGGCCGCCGCACCACTCTACCCCTTCCCCTCTTCTTTGGCGGCCGAGGCCGCTTTAAGGCGCGGGCGGGGCGAGGCCCCCGGCCCACCTCTGAACCCGGAGATTGACGGGCTGCCGCGGAGGAGGCGGGGCGGCCGCGGGGGCCGGCCTTGCCGCCGCCAATGGGGACGGTGGGGCGGGCAGGCGCCGCTGCCCCTTCCTCCCCCCGCCCCCCGGGCTCCTCCGTGCCAGTTTGAGGAGTCCGGAGCCGAACAAAAGCAGGCGGCGAGGGCCGGGAGCGGTGCGCGCAGGCCCGTTGGAGAGAGAGGGGAGCGGAGGGGAGGGGGCCGGGCCCTGTTGCCGCCAGCTAGCCCCGAGCTCAGCCTGAGGGTGGGGGAAAGTTTGGAGCCCTCCCCCGGAGAGCGGGGGGCTGCGCTGCGCTCCGCTCCGGCCCCGGCAGCTGCGGCGCTGCCATCGCGGGCGGCCGTTCCGCTCCGCCCCGCGCGTTGCTGCCTTCTCCTCCCCCGGCGCAGCCGCTGCCCCCACCAGCCTGCCCGCCGCCTCCCGGGCGCAGGGCTTAGCTGCCCTCCTTTTGGAGTCGCCGCCGTTTCCCCTCCCTTCCCCGGAACCCTCCCTCCTCCTCCTCCCTTCCCCTTTTCCCCTCCTCCCTCGCTCCCTCCCTCCCTCCCTCCTCCTCCAGCAGCCAAAGGGATTTTTCCCCCTTTCTTTTCTCTCTCTCTCCTTTTTTTTTTTTTTTCTCCTTCATTTTTTCCCTCCTCCTCCTCCTCTTCCTCCCCGCCGCGGAGCTGGGCGCCAGCGTGAAGGATAAATAAAAAGCGAAGAGGAAGAGGCTGGGGGGAGGAGGAGGAGGAGGTGGGGGGGAAGAAGGAAAGAAGAAGAAAGCGAGCAAGAAAAGAAAGCGAGGAGCCAGGCTGCCAGCCCAGCCGCGCCGCTCCCGGCAGCCAGGGCAGGAGGCGGCGGCGGAGTGGGGGCCGGCGGCCGGCAATGGATGACCAGCCGCGGCTGATGCACACGCACAGCGGGGTGGGGATGCCGGGGCACCCGGGCCTGTCCCAGCACATGCAGGATGGACCAGGCGGGGCGGAGGGGGAGGCAGGCAGGAAGCAGGACATCGGAGACATCTTACAGCAGATTATGACCATCACGGACCAGAGTTTGGACGAGGCGCAGGCCAGGTGAGAGCGGCGGCCCGGTCCCGGCGGGGTGAAGCGGGGGACAGGTGCCGGGGAAGTTTCCCCCGCGCCCCGGCCCGGCCTTTGTTATCCGGCGGGGGGAGCGCGCCCGGCCGCGAGGCGCAGCCGGGAATGGGGTCCTGCTGCGGGGAAATTGGGGGAAAGGGGAGAAAAGGTGATGGGTTAATCGCCCCATGTCTCCGTCCAACTTCGTGGCTGTTTTGGGGGGTCGCAGCGCCCCCAGCCCGCGCTCCCCCCATCTTCCCGCTTATCCCCGGCGGGGTCCCGAACCTCCTGCTCGGCCGGGCGGGCGGCTTGGCTTTTCTCAGCCTTTTTGAGGTGGGGGTTAATTCCACAGGGACATGGTTGTTGGGGCAGGCTGCGAGTGCGGGGCACAGAGTGCTGCTCCGTTTGCTAGGGGCGTTAATAATGTTCTTTAGGGCCCTTAGCGGTGATATATTTAAGGCCGTCATTTTTCGTTCTTGAAGGATGCACGTAGAAGCTTTCTCTTTATATCTTTTTTTCTTCTTAATTGCAGAGGTATTAAAAAAGATTAAAGAAAAAGGCTGTAAAAGACGGTAACCGAATTGTCCCCGGCTGCAAGCAGCGCAATCCTAATACGCACCTTCAAAGGCGCTAGCAAAAGTTAAGGGGGGGGGGGGGGGGGGATAATCTTCCAGCTGAAAGCGCAGTTGAAGGAATTAAAATAAAGTAAAAAATTAAAAAGTTGCCCTCAATTGCCTGGGATACATGTGAGATTTCTTCTGGGCTGCAGAGCTCCTAGGTGTGGTGTCCTGCCCCTGGTATTCGTGCCCCGAGCTGGAGCAGATTGCTAGAATACATTGTTCCTGGAAAAATGCATCTCTCAGCCCCGAAACTCGCTTAGTAACAACTTTCGGAAGGATAGAAGTATTCCCCAAACCTCAGCTTACATCCTCGGTGCCTCCCCAGCTTGGGTAAAACTCCCGTTTACCAAACAAGCTTGTTGCTGGGCTAATTTTCTTGCGTTTTTGCAGAAGCAGAGTAGCTGTGAGGAGGAGGAAATCGTGCCCTTTCTCCCCGGCTGGTCCCGGGAAGTGAAGGGAGCTTCCTTCGGAAAGTTGCAGGAATTGTGTGTGTTCCTGCCTGGATAATTTAGTGTAGTTAATCAAATCAATAAACCCAAAGCAGAACAAAGCTGAGAGAAGGCTTTATGGCTTTCCTTGCTGGACTGTTTCAGCTGTTTCCTCACAGTACTTATTTTTTATTATTTTTAATGCTGAGCTTCCAAATGTGCTGTATTTATCAGTGATGTTTGGCTTTGCATTTCCTCAATCCGTTCTACTATTGCACTGTGGTTTTGCTGCCTTTTTTTTCTGTTTGTTTGGGGTTTTTTAATTAAGTTTTTGAAAGATGCAAAGTACCAGTATTATTTGTAAGAGGGCTCCTACAGCATATGTACGTGATTTGTCCATACCCAAATGTCTGCACCCATCTGGGGGTGCTGATAAGGGGACGCTGTGGTTCTGCAAGGGTATACACCTTTGAGAGACTTCATCAGATGTATAAATCTTTTTAACATGTTGTGGGTGGTGGGGTAAGTAGTGTGAATGTTTGCCAGATGTTCACATTGTCTTTCGCATGTAATTTCGGTTGGTAAACAGAAATCCCGTAGCAGGCGCCTGGTAGCAACAGCCCTTTATACAACTAAATCCTTGGCTAAATGATTGTATAGCTTAAGAGGAAAAAATAAAATAATACAGTTTCTTTGCCTCAACAGGCACATGGTGGGGTTTAAAACCAGCCAATTAACTCTCCCCCAGACTCTCAAAAGCCGCAGGAGAACGGTCAGCTCTGAAATAATAGCAGCCAAAAAGAAAGGCATTGAATAGCATGCCCTCCCTTGCCCAGAAGCAGCCGGCTGTGCTTTTAAATGTTTACTGTCCCAGTTGTAAAGAATTAAATTTTAACACTTGAAAATAAGCTGGATGTAATTAGCATGGAGGCAGAGGAATAGGTTTCTCTCTTCATAGGTGCGCGTGTCTCTGTGCTCTAAGTTGCACGCTGAAATTCCTGGAATTGACAGCTCTAAGCAGAGGATCTTTCCAGTGCTGGGGCAATGGGGGGCTTATTTCCCCCCTGCTTTGCAGGATGAGCCTAATAAAGCACATGGCTGAGTTTAATATCGAAGGTGGGGGATGGAGAGAGCTCAGTGCACTCTCGCTATTGAATAAGACAGTTGAACCCAGCTTGGCTCCCAAATGCTCCTGGCTTCCGCTCAGTGCATTGCCTGGCTTGCACTGGTGGTGGGAGCCGCTCGATGGCAAA